TTTTAATGAAATTTTTTTGTGAACCTGACAGAAGAGACTTACAATAGTCAAGACAATTAGGAACAAGAGCAAAGACTAGTGGATTCTGTGCACTAACTGTGAGGTAGAGGCGGACTGCGGTGTATGCAGAACGAAATATTTGAGAAATGTGATTATTGAGAGACATGTTGTTTGAGAGAATGTAACCATCGCCGGTCTTATGTAAACTTTCGCCCTGCGCGAAGCATCCTTTCGGCGCCCCCTTCCCCAATGTCCATGCCCTTTCCTTTGGTCCCAACCTCAGTATTAGTATCCACATTAAGAATGCAACTTTCTTTTGTGAAAAGTCATTGTACGAAAAAGCGAATATACGAAAAGTTAGAATACCGTTTCTCGATCCCGAACTCGAGGTTAACACTTCACTATAATAAGCTAAGGGAATTTAAATATTTACTGGGCGTCCCAGGCACCGCTACGGACGCGGCGCCCTGTGCAAGGGCACAGGTCACACACCCTAAAGGCCGGCCCTGCAAGATTATGAAATAGTCTGCAAGTATTTTTCCACCCGTACCCTTCGCTAGCTTCATAACTTAATCCAAAAATTGCGTGGACATCGTTGCCGCAGTATCAATCCACAAGAATGGGCTGAATAACACTCTTTTTCACACACTGCTCAAAACCTGTTCGCATTGTTATCAGTCTTGCTTGAGCAATGGAATATTGGCCAGGCACTTTGGGAAGGGACCGGCCAAAGTAGCATATGCACTGGTAATTGCCAGTACATCGGATATTGGCTACACGCCTCGACCAAAGTGCGAAATGTCCGAAATACGGGCTTTGGCCGTAACATATGTTTATATGTTTATAAATATATATATATATTGCATTTTTAACACAATTTGAAGGATCACATTGCAGTACTACATTTTTAATAAATTAAGCAGTTTCCAACAATATAATAATTTTTATCCCGTGCAGCTTACTGTAACTTTTTTTTTGTTGAAATGATACAATGAGAATGACCAGAATGATCTTGTGTATTAATGCTCAAATTATATTTGAAGTCCCGCTATTAAAAAAAAAACACAATCAATATGTTATTTATCTTTTTGTTGGCATCCGACCGCCACCATGTGAAGATGATACAGAATTCAAAGCACGAAATCCACAAGGATTGGAATTTTTCTTTTAAGGATTATAAGCTGGTTGCTTCCACAGCAAATCTTCTCACTCCACTGGATAAAACCAAAAGAAATGTGTGTGTTGATGACACAGCTTTGCACCAGGAGTTGACGGATTGTTTTCACTCTGTCAATATTATCCGTCTAATTATAAATCAATATCTCTTAAATCAAAGGAACTCAGAACGACTCAGTTTAGACCACTCGGCCACCCAGCACCCAATCTTCGTGTAGACCACTCGGCCACCCAGCACCCAATCTTCGTGTAGACCACTCGGCCACCCAGCACCCAATCTTCGTTTAGACCACTCGGCCACTCAGCACCCAATCTTCAAGTAATCAAAGGCTTATAACGGATAAGATTTTCGCAAAATCTAAAAATAAAAATAAGAAAAATGATAATAACTCTTATAAAACAGAAACATTCGACAGCTTTAAAAATAGTAAGACTTAGATTAACAACTACGATTTTTGTAAAACATAATGCAATTGAGTTAATTACATTTTTTTATTATTACATAACAAATACAAACTTAGGGTACATCTCTTCCGAAATCTAAACAGTTATTTTAACAATCAATAATGATCATTCATATATATATATATATATATATATATATATATATATATATATATATATATATATCGAAATTTTATAAATATATCAATAAATAAAAAAAAAAAAAAAAAAATATATATAAATATAAATATATATATATATATATATATATATATATATATATATATATATATATCCCGAGGAATTTGATAAATCAATCAATAAATAAAAAAAAAGAAAAATAAATACATAAATATAAATATATATATACATCTATATATATATAATACTAATAATAATAATACTTGATATTACAAAGGTTTTAAAGTAAATGTTCATGTTTTTTTGTATTTTATTCTTTGTTTGTCTGAAAATTAATACATGCCACATTTAAATAAATTGTATATTTTGATCACATTTACTAAACTATTTGTTCTGTTTAAATCCCTCTAAGGATTGTGAGGCCAATAGCGGTGACATCTTCTTAGCATAAGGCAAATCTGACTTTGTCTTCTATGCCAAAACACATGTTCTTGTCAGTTCTGAAATTTTACCAAGGTAATAAGAGATCGAAAGATTTACATTTAGACTTTTTATTTATATTTTATTAGTAGGCTAATGCACTCGATCTTTAGACTTTCGTTTCCGACCGTCCTAAATCTGTGGTTATTGATCCTGCCTAAAAAGGCTGTGTTTGATTGATATGATTCTTAACATAAACTTGACATAATAGTAACATTTGAATAGCCATTACGACATCAAACCTTTTGTTTTTCCTGTTATTAACTACGGGATTGTAAACATTTTCTGAGAGTGAAAAATGTGCTTTTTTTTTGTATTCAAAATATGTTAGTTGAATAGTAGTATTTTTAATAAATTATTTATATTAACAATGATTTATTTTGTACACAACTGTCGGTTGCATGAGAATTTAATTAAAGATAATGATAATAATTTTATTGAAACAAAAATCGCAATTCAAGGTTTAGATGTTAAAATTAAATCTTAACTTTTTTGTTATAATTTTTTAAAAATATTATTTATATTCGATTAAAAATTATGCATATGTGATGGAACCCGGACACATACTATTTCAATTGGAAGAAAGAAAAGGACCTTTATAAAGGAGGGTGAGTCAATTAGAATATTACAAACAATAGAGTAACACGTAATTACATAATTAAATCGTGGAGATGGTTTTTTTTAAAGTTTTTTTGTTGTCATTCATACAATATCTGAAAATGACAGATTGTTGCTGTTTCCAAACTGGTTTATACACTGAGCATCTCTTCAAAAGTATTCAGTGACTATTTTTTAATTAGCCACACATCAATGGTTGCTAAAATCAGGTAATGCCAATGATAGATTTACTTTCCTAAGAACACATTGAACTTGTAATGATTAGCTCTACATACAAATTGCAATTGCTCATATTTGTTTGTTTTTCTTGAAAAATTATAATCACATATTTAATTTCAAATTGACCTTGGCTTTAAAGTAAATGACATTAAGATTACTTAATATTTTTTTTTACAAAGCATAGAATATTGTACCATTAAATTTCAATGTTTTTTTTATAGTTAATTGTTCATTGTTTCTTTCTTGTAATAATGGGTGGAAATATGTCTCTAAAATAATAGTTTAAGGATATCTTTATTATCATAAGGTTGAATGAAAGAATCAAATGCGCAAAATACATCAAGACAGATTAACCAGTTTTAAGCGTAAAGAGAATTTTAATCATTAGAAAAAATCAAATTAATAAATATATGTTAATGAGTTCTAAACATTTACAACATACTCTTTATTTATGCTACTATATGCTCAGAATAAAAATTACAAACAAAAAATTATTTAAAATATAAAAACATTAATTATAAAATAAAAACTCGTTTATTTCTTAGTCTATTCATTAGGTTCTCAGATTGAACCAAACTTGTCAACGTACTTTCCTACAGTTCTCAGATTGGACCAAACTTGTCAATGTGCTCTCCTAAAATTCTCAGCTTGGGCCAAACTTGTAAAAATACTCTCCTAAAATTCTCAGCTTGGGGCAGACTTGTCAACTGAAAATTCCTTACACGACTTGAAGTTGCTATCACAGATTGACTTAGTGTTGCAATAAGTACTGGATGAGTCAATGTTCAGACTTTTGGAATGGTCGATCTGAACATACGTGACCTTGTCGGCTTTGTTGAAACTACTGTGGTGTGATGGTTTTCTCCGTGTCTGGGAATGATCAATGGTGACGTAGATAAGCCCATTTGAGGTGTACCGTCCAGGGTACTAGTTGGATTTTAAAAAAAACAAGAAAAAAAACCAATCAATTGTGAATTTTCTTTGGAATATATGAAGCTAATAAACAAACTTGAAAAAAATATAATGAACACTATAGTTAATAAGGTTATGTGACCTCGTGCGGTGTCTTTTTATTGTCCTGCCGTGTCACAAATATAACATCAAGAGTACACATTACCAAAGACTTATACATGATACATAATATAAAATGAGTAAAACAAAGTAGGGTTAAACCTGAAAAAAGTAACGCAACAAAGCAACGATCGTGTCGGCAGAAAGCCTTCGTCAGCCAACAAAACAACATAAAAAACGGTTTAAAAAAAAAGCACTTAGCTTAGACGTAGTATCCGTGGGCAGCAAAAAAAAAAACAACAACATTTATTTTGCTGCCCATGGATACTACATCTTAGCTAAGTGCTATTTTTTATTTTTATTTTTATAACGTTTTTTTCTGTTGTTTTGTTCGCTGACGAAGGTTTTCTGCCGACACGTTCGATGTTTTGTTGCGTTCCTTTTTTCAGGTTTAACCCTTCTTTGTTCTACTCATTTTATATTGTGCTTACCTGATTGCAGTCTCTCCCCTTATTACCCTATATTATACATAGTAGTTTTCGAAAAATGTCAACGCAACAAAAATAGGCTCTGGTCGGCCACATGCTAACGCTGCTCCCCATCAACCATTTTACTCCTTTTGTGTTAACGATGATTGAAATGTACAATATGAAGTTATAAATATTTAAATTATTTATTGAATTGTATTTAATAAAGCAATTTATGATGATTACATGGCAACATTTGAAGGAAACACTTTGGCCGTAAGACTCATCTGTTTGAAGTAATCTGTATTTAACAGTTTATTTGATGTATACCAAAACTCTATGACAGAATCGCATATGTTTTATAATGACTGAAACAGTGTTATATGTTGTTAGAAGAATACTCACCTGTTTAAAGTAATCTGTATTTAAAAGTTTATCTGATGTGGGCCGGGCATCTAAGACACTGTCGGATATGTTGTTATAATGAAATGCATCTGGATCGTTCCTCAAGTTAACGTAGTCAGTATCTGTAAAATAGAAAAAAAATTATCATCATAACTACCTTGAGTAATTTTACAATCCGCTACGATGTCGATAAATAAAATATTTAAAAAAAAAGAAATAAATGTGTATAAAAGTTACGAAAGTGAACGAATTCAAAAATTATTTTTAGTATAACATCTTTTAGTTTCTATTTTATTTTTTTTTTCGTTTTATTATTTGAAAGCTTTGAAAGCTAAGATCTTCTTTCATAATTAAAAATGCAATTAAACTAATCTTACTTCAGAAATTAGATACTTAAACAAAATTAGATTACAAAAATAAAATAAGTATAACATGGTTACTCTGAATTTTCACCATAACTCTTTCTCCTTTTTTTTATTTCGAATCTACGAATAATTCAAACCGCAAATGCGCTTTTCAATTAAACTTTGTGGTAAGGAATTTTTTTTGTAAAATAGTTTACGGCCCGCTATAAAATGTACAGCAAAGGCTGATCAAAATAGCGTAGAAACATTTGCAAGAACACTAAACACTAAACAGTCATAAAATTTAAATGTATTATATAATTATATTATAATTATATTTGGAAATTGCATCTGTGAATGCTTTTTTAACAGTTTTTCAAACTATATTCCCAAACGATCAATATTTAAAAGGGAACTAATCTATTATTATCTATTTAATAATGATACTGGGGAAAAAAAACACTCACCTGCATGACCATCCCGTCTCACAATATCAGCGTGAGATTTTGATCTGTAAATTGGAAATAATACTTTAGTAAGTTTAAAACCCATCACTTAATTGGCTATAACTATATAAAAAGGTTAGCAGTTTCGCATCAATGAAATAAGTTTGTATGATATTATATTTGAGTTATAATTTGATTATTTTGAGAGGGTATTTTTAAAAATTGTAAAACATAAGTAAAGAAAAGTTTCGTTAATCTCCTAGTTAAAGATTTAATATAAATTTAGTTCCCTTTTTAAACAATTTTGCTTAAAATATATAATTATTTCTCGTTAATAGTATTTAAATGATATTTTTTGTATTGAAATCGTATTTAAATTTATTTTAACACAGGCACAATTATTTGGGGGATTGAAAAGATATGGTATAATTGAAATTAGCAAAAGCAATACCATCTTTTAAGATATAAATAATTGTTAAGGAAATTTGTACGATCGAAGCACAGGCAATGTGTTTATAGTTATTATTTGTTTATATTAAACCAGTTTATGATCAATGATAATGTCAACAAAATTACAAAGAGGAAAAAAAGACACTAACAGTAGTTACTGAGTCGGAAACTTTACCTGGATGAAACTAGTTTCTTTTTTAAAACAATCCGCTCTGAAAAAAAAAATTAGCGTTTTAGGAAAACAAAATAATTATATTCTTACAAGTGAAACATATTTTTTTTTATATATATTTTGTTATCTTTTTTGGTGAAATGTTTTTAATTCATAAGGCAGTAACAAAAAAAATTATATTATTCATCTTTTTCTCTCAAAATGCATTGAAAATTTTGGCATGTAATAAGAACACACATTATTCATTAGTATGTCTAGAGCGTGTTTTTGAATCGGATTGTTTAAATAATTTTGAGTAAGTAGTGAATTTTGTGAGGCATGAAAATGGATGTTGCAAGTTTTATTCACAGTCCGTATCAGAGGCTACCACACGACAAATCAACGCGGGCTAGACCTTTAGGCCAACAATTTGTCTCAGTCTGTTGGAGACAGAGCATGCACTTTTTGGTGCGTGAAATAAATGTATTAAATTGTATTTGAAATATGTTAATGATTTGAAGGTTTGGTGTACATATATTTTTAAGAATACATATAAAGTATACGTTTTATACTGAGACGGACAGCCTACTTCTGTTTTGTTAATGTTTTGTAGCTTCATGGCTGATTATTGGAATAAACAATCAAGTTTGATGCTGATTTGACGTTATCATTAACATCTTTCCCCATGACGATGAATGGGTCTGATGAAAGCGTAATTTAGTGTGAACACTACTTTTGAGATAGAACCACATAATGCTCTTGTCATTGTGTTTAACACAACACTGTCTATAAAAAAATATCTTTTAATCTTTGATCGCTCACACCACAATTGAAATGGAAAATATGACAATAATTACAGTTTATGGCACGATTACAAGTAATAAATTGAAATTAAATACTAATTTATTAAATTCACTCTCAATACTAATTAAGTCTTACATTTATTGTGTGCTATTAAAAAAAATTAAATGAGCATTGTATCATGTGTATCCTTGTACCCCTTTTAACAATAGGCAAATCGACAACTTTCGAAAAAAAAAAAAACTCCTGCACATTAAAGATACATGTTTATTATTTAAATCTTATAGCGTTTTTGAGACATTTGAAATGTACTTACTGGTTTTGACTAAAAACACTATCAGCGTCATAAAGGCTAAAAATAACGTTACAAGGGCCATGCTAATACCAATTACCACCAAAAGGAATTGAGAATCTGCTGAAGTTGGCGCATCAGCTGAAGTATTGAAAGAAAAAAAATGATTTAGGAACAAATACAAAATAACGTCCATTTTTAAATATAATTTTATTTTTAAATATCCAAATCGGAAGTGAAATACATGTCTTTTAAATAAATAAAACTCAACATCAGCCAATAAGCAAAATTAAAATGTCGTAAATATAAACGCATATAGAATAATAATTCATAACTGCTTTGCAACAGGAAACATTTTAATTTTCAAAACGATTTGTTCTCTCTCTAAGTAATAATAAGCATTTTTCAAAAAAAAAAAAAAGAAAAATAAATAAAATTGTAAAAAGTAAATTGTTCTTTACTTCATCAAATACCTGTTGTACGGTCATAAATAATTAAAGGATTGCATTCGAACTCTGTTTTGCTTTCAGTACTTAAAGATATGTTTATCATGTATCCTGTATTGTACTTCAAACCGACAATAGTTCTAACAATATTATGAACGCCATCTTCCTCAGCAGTGAAGTAAATAGCTCCAACAAAGAAAATCGAATAATTTACAGCAACGGCTTTGATTGTAAACTGTTGATTCCTTAGGTTTGCTCCTAGTGTGATGGATAGAGTGATGTAATCTGAACCTCTTTCGGTCACGTTGACATCACTGGTACAGTTCTCTGTTAGATACATTAAATAATTAATACTTCTTTTATACATTTTATATGGATGTGATTTTATATGAACTGAATGTTCAAAAGTTTGATTCATGTGCCTTTATATATATATATATATATAAATATAAAAATATTTATATATATATATATATATATATATATATATATATATATATATATATGTGGACAAGCCAGAGAATGATAATATACATTCTGATGGTTGAAATATATTTATTTAAACAACCAAAAAAAAAAAACAAACTTTGATAAGCGCAAATGATAAAATGTGTTTTTAATTGGTTATATGTTGCTGTCCAAAATATCAAGGCTACTAGAGTCAATGCAATTTTTATTAATGAATCAACATATATATGTGAGTGAAATATAAATTGTGAGCTATCGTAATTTAATTTTATGTATCTTTAAATAAAGTGTGGGAACACATAGATGTTCAAAAAATATGTTTGTGTTTATGTGTGAATATGTATTGCCAGAAGGCAATGTGTAAGTACGTAAACATGACAACAACCAAAAAACACGCCTTATTTTTTTTTTTTAAATTATTAATAAATTCCAAAAATGACTGAACTTTAAAGAACTTTGCATTGTATTACCAAAGAGATTATTTAGAAAAGTTTTTAAAAACATATTTCATTGATAAAGTGTAGACGCCTCTGATATTTACCTTTTAACCTGATGTCAAGTGTATAATTTAGGACGGATATGACGTCAGTGTTGTTGTACATCGTGGTGAAAAACACTGTATAAATGTTAAACTGTTCATATGTGATATTGTCCAGTTTTATGTATATTATAGTATTACAGGAATGCATAGAACATGGTGACCAAAGTACACAGAAGTTGAGCTGATATCCACTTTGATAAAGATGTGTCCCATTTAAGCCAATCACTAGACGATGTAACACATTGTGTAGGGAGACATTGACACACGTCTCTAGTGTTAGATTGTCTCCAATGTTGGCGTACATAATCTCTTGACTGGCCTCTTTTTCATACAGCTGAAGATTATCTTGAAAATATGGACATCTTCCTTACAAATTTGAATCGCGAAAAGCGCATAATTAAACTTATTCATCTTTTTTAAACTGAAATTATAGTTTAATTCTTGCAATAAAAATATTTTTCTTATTTGCACTTTTTGTCACTTGTGAAATTTAAAAAAAAAATGCATACTTGCTTACATAGGTTTTCATAAAATGTTAATAGCAGTTATAGATTAATTAATTTCACACTAAAAAAAAAACAACAACTTATCCCACCTGGAATGAGCTTGACATCCAGAGACAGGTTCAAGGTTTTATTATCTGTAGTGTTAAGTCTCATAGTGTAAACGTGTGCATGTTTGGGTACTACATTGAAGATTGAGAAGTAAATAAAATGATACATTCTTGATCCATTATTTATATGTCTTATCATGAAAGTTGGATCACGTGAGACATTGTAGGTATACACGTCATCATTGATCTCTAGATTTGGCGCCAGATTTGGAGAAATAACGCAAAATGTGACAGTAACGTTGTCACCGATGTTTACTGTTTTTGTCAGGTTTGGAGAAAATCCTTCACACATTACAGGTGGACCTGGTGAATAGTATTTTATTAAAATATACGCAATTACATGGTGGATACCATAAACAATATCATATCACTAATGTAATGGCTTGATTCTATCTGAAATATTATATGTTTATTTTAAACATAATTGTTAATAAGTTATTACATTATTTTAAATTAAAGTATATTTATATTTTTTAAAAAATGTCATTTATATAGGTTACTTATTACATTTTTTATCACTTCAAATTTACAGTCTTCAAATTTTACCTACAGACATTGTTCCATTTATCTTCACAAATGTAAAACTTCTGTTTTTGACTTTCATATATTTTTTTTTTAAATTTAATTTATTACAGAGACTATCAATTTTGAATACGACAATTTAAGTATATTTCTTTGCTGTACCATGTAACTTTTAATTAAATAGAAACATGGTAAACCAAAAAGAAACTTACACAAACGCAGATCCACATCACTGGATACAAAAGTCTTATTCCTGTCAACATCCGTCTTTTCACATATATATGTGCCCATGTCACTACATGTCAGTGGTTGTAAAGTGTACATAACATCAGATATACCACTAGCTAGCGTTGTGTTATTGAATCTCTTAGTTATGTGTAAACTCTCATTAGGAGAGTACGGCAATTCACAAGTGAGTGTCTGCTTATCTCCAGCATACAACATTTCTTTATTTTTAAATGTGAAATAAATACCTGAAATAAAACAAATTAGATGATTGTTATTAACGAATTGTTTATTTTAAAATATAGCGAAAGTGTAATATTCTGCTAAAAGATAATAAAAAAACCTCTAAAAAAAGTTTGTTATATCATTTTTAATACAATGTAACATCGATCAAAAAGGGGGGGGGGGGGCGGTGAAAAGTTGACAAAAAATGCACACAAAAAACGAACTTTATAAGAATGCCTATTAGGGCTCCTCCTTAAGACACGCATTCCCACCCTTTTTTTTAACGCCTAAAAAGTTTTTTATATCATTTTTAAAACAAAGTAACATCAGACAAAAAGGGGGGGGGGGGGCGGTGAAAAGTTGACAAAACATGCACACAAATAACGAACTTTATAAGAATGCCTATTAGGGCTCCTCCTTAAGACACGCATTCCCACCCTTTTTTTTAACGCCCGTAAACTATGTTAATATTTGAATGTACCACCTTTTTTTTTAACAACGCATATTTATTTCACCAAGCATTTCAGAGAAACAAAAGATAATATTAAGCTACAAACACAATGATTTTCCGGTGGTTACGTTTTGAGAGTTGGCCTGAAAATTTGATTACTTTTGCTGTCATCATTAATGAGTTTATGGGCCAAGTTTCAGGTCGAAATGTTAACGGAAAGAGGTTTAATTAGCCATTGGAATATTTTGCAAGCTCCCTGCCCAGCTAGCCAGCCACAAAAAAAGCGAAGTTAATCTAAATAATTTTAAAAAAGCTTTGGCATGCTGCTTAAAATGTATTGTGAAATCCTAGTATAATTCCTTCAGAAACATATAAATCAGAATATTTAAACGTAAATTGATAATAGTTCAATATATATGTTAAAGTAATTAGAAACCTTACTTTCTTGTAATAGAAACAAATACATACGTTGACCCAGACATTTTCTTTATTACAGCTAATAAGAATGTAATATAGGTGTAAGGAATCGCAACTGGTGATAATTGTTGTGTAAATAGATAGCGAGAGGGAAATATGAAGTGCATTTAGAGTTCCTGCATAATCTGAAAGGCATATATACACTCTGCTATTTGATATTTGTAAATGTTTACGATGCGTTACCGCTAAGTACAGATTATTTCCGTAAAAATCAAGTAATATTTTTTTCCAAAGTAGTTCTCATCACTCTATTCCCTAAAAATATAATTAAAATGAAACAGAAATGATGCTTTAGTGAGCCGCGTCTCTTTATACTGAGAATAATAACATCCACAAATGATGTGGTGAAAATAAAACTTAACAGACACTGGCATTGTCTGCATAATGAATGAAGGCATAAAATCAGTAGCGTGGGCCCTTGAGCTAGAGACCGACCGAAAGTGATATTCTGATTTCGGCCGAAACCAAAACAAGGCCAAAAGTTTAAAAAATGACTTTGGGTCAACACCGAAAGTAAACCGAAACTTAACTTTTCAGTTTCGGCCGAAACCGAAATTAAACCAAAAGGTGATATTTTAAACTTTTATTTCGCTGTCAGTAAAAAGATTTATGAGCTCAATAACGATGAATGTCAATAATTTATTAAATGAGGAGACCTAAGGATCCCCCCCCAAAAAAAAATAAAAGAATAATGTAAAAAAATAATAAAGGAAGTCTTACAATTCCCTAAGATTTTTTTTTTCCCAATGCTAGTTACTTTGGACTATGACGACCTTTTTGAGCAAGATAATGATAAGTCAAAATGTAATTTACAAATAAATGACTTGAATGAACCTAGAATTTCATTTAAAAAAAAAAAATCATAAATAATAATATAAATATTATCATTCCCAAGAGTTTTTTTTCGCAAAACTGTTAACCTTTTTTTTATTAAGATTTCATTTCTTAAAATATTAGACAAATCATGCAGCTGTGAACAGTGTTCGCAAATCATTTGTTATATATTACCGATGCCAGCAATACGTCGCCCAATAATTAATTGCCAGCCCTCAGGATGACAATCTGATATCTGGTAGAAGACCATAGGCACTTTTAACTTTCGGCAACACGGCTGAAAGTCTCCATCATTTTCGGCCGAAACCGAAAATAAACCGAAATTAAACTTTTCAGTTTCGGTCGAAATCGAAATTAAACTGATATTTAACTTTTCAGTTTCGGCCAAAACCGAAACTAGGCCGAAAGGGATAAAATGGCAAATTTCGGCGCTGAAACCGAAATTCGGTCGGCCTTTAACTTGAACCTATTCAGCTTCAAGGGCTCTAAGATTATTAAAAGGGCCTGAAGATGGAAAGAGAAAAACTATTACATTCTTATCAGAAGGCCTTTAAGTGTCACGTAATGGCCCTGCTATAAATACATATATATTCTGCTAACCTTCATCTATATCTGGCATTCACTAAGGAAACAACTCAGGCGATAACATCTGATGATTATAATCTTGTTCTTTATTAGACTGACACTTCGCTTACACTTTCCCTCATCTCACAACTCTGACTGCCCTCTTCTCATACTGTCCGTGTTCTCCCTGACTGTCTGCTTCTCTGTCCGGCCGCGCTCTCCCGTCCCGTCCAGAGGTCCCTATTTATAAGTCCCTGGTCCATACGCGCACTATCCCCCGCCCCTTTGATCAGTCAGCAACCAGTCGTCCCAGGGAAATACCCTGGTCAGATGGCCGGTACCGCCCGGCGCTTTGATCAGTCGATCGTGATCACTGGTCAGATGGCACCGGCTGTACCTGGACAGATGGCCGGTAACCCTGCTGCGAGATCTGGCGCGCGCTTTGATCAGTCGATCGTGATCCCTGGTAACACTGCTGCGAGATCTGACGCCCCGGCGCCGTCGTGGTCCGAACTCTCCACAATATATATATATTTATATTATAATATATATCATTATATATTAAAATAAAAATAGAATTTCGTTGTTAAACAGTATGGATCCATATAACAAACGACAATGCGAGATCTGACGCCCCGTCGCCGTCGTTGTCCTAACTCTCCACAATATATATATATTTATATTATAATATATATCATTATATATTAAAATAAAAATAGAATTTCGTTGTTAAACAGTATGGATCCATATAACAAACGACAATAACATATTATTGCATAATCATATTTTGTATGAAATATGAGCACTGTAAAAAAATAGGGATCATTGCGTTTAGTAGAATGTTTTTAGATCGTGAAATTGTAAATGTTAGAAATGGTTTTAATTTAATTTGTAATTGATCATAAGGTTGTGCGATAGTACATAATGGTAGTGTGTAAAAATGTGTGTGAGCTCAAGATGATAGTTAGTTTTCTCATGACATTGGTCATAGGATGCTCATAGATTTTGTTAATACAAATTTCATTGAGATATTTATGAAAATTGATGACACTAACTGAACCAGAGAAAACTATTTTTTGTGTCCACAATTTTTAGAAGGGTTAACATGAAGCTACTTGAAAAGGCTACATCCTTTTCTGGGCGTGATCTGCCGTCACTGCGGACAGGCACAAGAGACAGTAGAGCACTTGCTAGCCGCGTGCACGAAACTAATGGGTGGAGGGGTTGGGAACTACCAAGAAATCCAATCAGAAAGCCTAATCAACGGCGATGCCCAGAAGATGCTGCACGCCCATAAAGTGGTTTCCGGAGCTATAAAATAATGTTAGTTCGGCACTAAAACAGAATGTAATATTTCTGTAAGAGGTTTTCAAATGTGTGAAACCTTGTGTTAGAAACACAATATTATGATTAATGACTTATGACCAAACAGATATTAAAAAAAAATAATATAAAAGAAGAGTTATTTTATTTTATCACGCGTTGTTACCCTAATTATAGAAACAAATTTTGGGCATGATTCTTATTAAGAAGAGTGTTGCAGTTACAATTGTTGACACCATAAGCGAGCGTATGAACAATTAAAAGGATTAAAAAAGAAATGAAAAAAAATACTTGCCTTTGGTCTTGATAAAGACTTTCAAATGTAGTCTGAGTCCTGCCTTATTGATAACTGTTATATCCTTAGTTCCATTATTTTTGTTGAAGGTTTCAATTAAAAGAAACACTTCAAAAGTGTTTTTCCATTTTTCGTTCTTTTCTATGACTATTCTGGTTTCTTTATTTGTTACAATTTTCTTATTAACTGAAACATTATCTAACAATTCCGACGAAGACAAAACACAAAATGATACATTTACTGAAGCTCCTTCATCGGCAAATACGACTTTCTCATTGCTCTCATTACTGCATATTTCCAGGTGATCTATAATTTGGAAAAATATTGAGTTGAAAAAAATGTATAAATACCACACTTTTTAACAGGTAATTATTTACAGTTTTTTGTATCCATTTCAATTAATTGAAACTCTTGTTACATGGTTTTAATGTATCTATTATGAAATAATCACTTGCATTCCATCTAACTCTTTTTCAATATATCTAGCAATTTCCTTTGTTTTCACTAAGGTTCGGGGCAGATTAAAGAAATTATCTCTCTGACCGAAATAATCTATAAGTAACTATTATCCTAACCTTGAAGATTCACTTCTAAAGAAAATTTGAAATGTAGATCAGCCGTGTTGTAAATATCATATGTAATGTTCATTGGACGTGTCACACTGTTGTAGAAGAAAGTCACATTGTATTGACCTTTTTTTGCCCCTTCTCTAATCAAAACCAAAGACGTATTTTTTATGATGTCAGCATTATACAATGCTTTTTTTCCTGAATTGATTTCGTCAATAAAATGTGACTCAAAGATTGATTTGATTGGGGTGTTAGATACAAGACACACAAGTTCTGTAATACTTTGATTGAACTCTACTGTACGTTTCAGAGAGTTTTTCCGAGCAATGCAAAAGTGTATGATTTCTGAAATATATAAAACAATAGTGATATTTCAACCAAAAAAAAAAAAAAAAAAAAAAAAAAAAAAAAAAAAAAAAAAAAAAAAATAAAAAAAAAAAAAAAAAAAAAAAAAAAAAAAAAAAAAAAATGAAAATTATAAATAAAGTAGAGAAGGCTTTTTTCCGATACAAGGCTATCACATGGTATTCTTACCCTTTAACATTAATTTTTCTTTAAAAAAAAAATACAAACAAGACCAATTTTGACCAAATTTTCATTAATAAGATATATTTTATGAGGTGTAACCATGTCAAATGTGTTTGTGATACATATTTTTTTTTTCTTCTTCTTCTTCTATATCTTCAGGGCCCACGATCAATTTATTGATCATTTTGGCTCCTATGCATGTAGATGGGATTTGCAATGTTTCTGTGCCTGGTGTTGATAGGAACTTTCACTGATTTCCAGTGCCACTTTGTGAGGGACTCATGCACTAGGGGTTTGACGACTTGAGGTATTATTCACAAATGTGTCTAGTGTTGTCGACTCAACCTTTCCTTTGGAAAGATTGTTCCAGTCCCTGATTGTCTTGGGCAGGAATGAGCAGCTCCTATACTGACTTCTTGCTGGTATGAGGCTGAATTGCCTGTCATGGCCTCGTCGCTGTCTATGGGGGAGAAGGACGAGTTTCTGTTTAAAACTAGAACAGTGGACCAGCCCAATATTTATCTTGTACATCATGGAGAACCTGGATTGTCGTCGTCATTCCTCCAATGGTGACCAGCCTAGTGTTTCCAGCATGCTGCCAACACTATAGGTATTCCTGTAACGGGTTAGGAAAAACCGCGCTGCTCGTCGCTGGACCGCCTCCAACCTGTCAATGCTCTTCTGGGTAAATGGGTCCCAGACTGAAGATGCATAATCTAAAACCTGACGGACAAAGGCTTTATATGCTCTTTCTTTCACACAGGAGTTGCCAATCTTTAGATTTCGCCTTAAGAACCCCAGGCTCTTGTTTTGCTTGGTAACATACATTGTTAATATGCTCGTCCCAGCGGATCTCTCTTTGAATGGTAACACCCATTTACTTTACCGAGGAAATTCTAAAGTATATGGCTGTGCAGTTCGTAATGGTAGTGTAGAGGAGTACAACTTCTAGGGACTGATAGTGTCTGGCACTTGGCAGGGTGAAATTCCATGTCCCAGCTCATCTCCCACTCAGCTAACAGATTGATATCCTGTTGTAGCTGGTCCTGGTCAGATCTGTTGGCGATCGTCCTATCCACCGGTGTGTCATCTGCGAACATTCTTGTTTGTGATGTTAGTTTCTCTGGTAGGCCATTAATATATGCTAGGAATAAACAGGGGCCTAGCACTGAGCCCTTGGGGACCCCTAATTTTACATCGACAAAGGAGCAAAAATGATCAATAAATTGATCGTGGGCCCTTAAGATATAGAAGAAGAAGAAGAAGCTTGTACCGTCCAACACTACTGCTTGGCATCGGTGGTTTAGGAAGCTAGAGATCCATGTTTTAGTAGTGCCTTGGATCCCATATCTCTGGAGTTTGTGTGGAAGCAAACTATGATTCACACGGTCAAATGCTTTTCGAAGTACATAATCAGCACGTCAGTCTGATTTTGGTTCCCCAGATTGGTCATCAGGTCTTCTACAAATTCAAGAAGCTGGGTCTCACATGAACTATTGACTCTGAATCCATGTTGACAGTCATTGAGTATATTTTGGCTTTCAAGATGCTTCATGACTGTGCTTACGATTATGTGCTCCAACAGTTTGCAGATCACGCTGGTGTGGGATATCGGACGATAGTTGGCAGGGTCGGAAAGCTCCCTTTCCTTGTAGATTGTAGTGACATGCGCTGTTCTCCAGTCTGCTGGAACATTTCCTGTGCACATTGACGATTGGAAGATGATTGTCAGTGCAGGAGCGATTTCTTTGGCTAATTCTTTGAGCACTCGTGGTTTGATGTTGTCAGGACCACATGCTTTTTAAGTGTTAATGGTAATTAGGATGGCCAGCACACCTTGTTCTGATATCTCTTATTACAGGGTAGGCTCTGTTCATCATTTTGGTCTTCAGAAGGAACTCAGTCTCCGAGTACTCTCTACCGACAGCAAAGACTAGTAGCACAAAACAAAGAACTCCTTCAATATCTTACACATTATACAAAGATATATATAGCACTATTAGAGAAATTTTGTTAAGTCCATGTACGCCATATTGAGAGCTTTTAGTGTATTAGGAGACGCATCACTACAAGCCGGATTGGAAGTTAACAAAAAAAAAAAAAAAGAAACCAAGTTAAGAGAAGAACGACAGATCAAGGCAATACAATTAATAATCACACTTTTAAAAAAGTAAATCAATTCAAATACAAAGAGTGTTTAATAAATGAAAGAAGTGAATTACTAAAAGAAAGAAAGAAGGAATATCGGATGGAAACAGAGCATACTTAAGTGTCAGAAAATGTTCAAAACTAACAATTTAACAAGAAAAAAAAGAAAAAAACTATATATAAAACTGTAATTAGAACAAATGTAAAATAAGTAAGTGAAAATTTGACCATAGCAAATACTGTTAATAAAATATAAAACGCATGGGAGAGAAAGGTACTCCGGAGAATATGTACCGAAAAGGGTGAATATATGGATGGAGAATACGAGCGAACTATGAATTTTATAGTCTATATCAGGATCTCAGGCTAGTAGAAGAAATAAAATGTCAGGCTTCGATGGGCAGGACTCTTAGAGAGACTGCCAAATGACACAGTAGTGCAGAGGAAACGTCACCAAAACCTCAGAGGAAACGGCTCAAAAGCTCACCAAGACTGTGATGAATGGATGATGAGGAAAAAAGATCTCCTGCAGCTCGGAACTCAAGTTTTGATTGATAAATTAAATTAAAATACAATCATACAGAGAAAAAAATTTAGTTAAATTGAGATTGATATTGTTTACCAGCCATATTGGCTCTTTTGTGTTCCTATTTTGGAAAAGAACAACAACAGCAAATTAACTTCCAAAGCGATTTTTTTTTGCTGCACAGGTAAATTTAGGGCCCAGCCGAAAACACTTTGTTGAAGTGCAAGTTAAAATTTAAAAAATTTCACCTGTAAAAAGCCATATATTTATATATATATATATATATATATATATATTTATATATATTATCTGTTGTTTACATTGAGTTCTAAATAACGTCATTTTTAGTGTTATCTATAAGTTAGCGAACTACAAATATAATTCAGATCAATAAACAAGTTAGTTTTCCAGATATACAATTACAATCGGGAAGATCTAGCAAAGGTGTGTCAATTTTTTTTTTTTATTTACAATGAACGGATGCGTAAATATTTTATTATTAAAATTTTACAGCACGGCGTATTTTTTTTTTTTTTTTTTGAATAATGAATAAAAAGTAATTTTTTAAAAACATGTCTCATTAGCATCGATATAAAAACGGACAAGGAAATGCGTTTTGTTATTTTAAAAAATTGGACCGTCTGCACAAAATGTGTCAATTTTTTTTTTTATTTACAATGAACGGATGCGTAAATATTTTATTATTAAAATTTTACAGCACGGCGTATTTTTTTTTTTTTTTTTGAATAATGAATAAAAAGTAATTTTTTAAAAACATGTCTCATTAGCATCGATATAAAAACGGACAAGGAAATGCGTTTTGTTAGTTTAAAAAATTGGACCGTCTGCACAAAAATTATTTGATTATACTATTTTGGCAACTATCTGATATTTAAACTTGATTATTAAAGGTATATTTACCAATTTGTTCTAGATTTAAAAATGCACATAGCAGCTTGCATTGGAGCCTATGCCTTTTTGTACACCTTACGTTACTATAAAGAATATACAAAGCAGTACCTCTCACAATTATTTTGTAATTTCTAGAAACGTCAATATCATCATGAAATCTGATGTCATAATATTTGAGAAAATCATAGATACTTATTAAAAAATAAGAAATATTAAAAAATATCTAGTTATTGTTAACATTTATTTTTTAAATCCAATATTCTAGAATAAAGTAGAAACGTCAAGAAACTTTTTTAAGACATATTCACTGAAATGGAGAAAATAGTAGAAGTATAGAATTAACTATAATATCCACTAAAATACGCTTAAATTTTTAGCTTTAATGGCCATTTTCATAATCTTTATATCTACCTCAAAAAATATAGAACTTGTTTGAAAATTCAATTTATGAAAACCTTGAAATATCTTGTAATAATGTCTTGTAATAGTTGCTTGTCTTAATGTCTTGTAATAATGTATTGTAATAATGTCTTGAAATAAAGTCTATTTTATGTAGTCAGTATTTCAAAACTAAAGCCTCAAAGACCAAAAGGACCGTAACTCTAGATATTTCCCAAAAAGTTTA